TTTTTATAAGAACAGATCTATGGTAAATATTTTGAGGAGCTGCCAAACTGTTTTTCAAAGTGGCTGCATCATTTTACAATCTTTCCAGCAATGTACTTGAGGGATCCACTTTCTCCACATCCTCAACAGCATTTGCATTTAAAAAAAAATTTGTTCAGCTTTACTGAAGTATAATTAACAAATAGGAATGATACATATTTAAGGCATACAATTTGATGTTTTGATATGCATATACATTGTGGTTGCCACAATCAGGTTAATTAACATGTCCATTACCTCATGTAGTTATCACTTGCTTGCCTTCTTTCTTTTTTTGTACTGGTGAAAAAACTGAAGATCTTCTCTCTTAGCAAATTTCAAGTATACAACACAGTATTGTTAACTGTAGTCAGCATGGTGCACACTTGATCTCCAGAATACATTCATCTTGCATAAATGAAACTTTGTACCCTTTAACCAACATCTTCCCATTTCTTCCTACCCCTGGCAACTACCACTTTACTCTCTGCTTTGAGTTCAACTTGTATAGATTCTACTTGATAATGGTATATAACCTTTGTATATGTTGCTGGATTTGGTTTGCTAATATTTTGTTGAGGATTTTTGTGTCATTGTTCATAAGGGATACGGGTTCAGAGTTTTCTTGTGGTGACGTCTGGTTTTGGTATCAAGGTAATACTGTACTCATAGATCAAATTGTGAAGTGTTCCCTCTACTTTTAGAATACTGGGTGAAGGACTGGTGTTAATTCTACTGTAAACAGTTGGTTCACCAATGAAGCCACCTGGGCCTGGGCTTTTCTTTGTGGTAGGTTCTTTATCACTAATTCAATCTCTTTTCTTGTTATAGGTTTATTCAAATTCTCTATTTCTACTTGAGTCAGTTTTTGTAGTTTGTGACTTTCTAAGTACTTAACCATTTCATTTAGGGTAAATAATTTGTTGGCATACAATTATTCATAATATTTCCTTATAATTTTCTTATTTCATATAAGGTTAGTAGTATTGTCACCACTTTCAGTCCTGAATTTTATAATTTTAGTCTTCTTTCTTTTTTTCTTGGTTGAACTAGCTAAAGGTTTGTCAATTTTCATTTTTTATAAAGAAGCAACTTTTGGGCTGGGTGCGGTGGCTCACGCCTGTAATCCCAGCACTTAGGGAGGCCAAGGTGGGTGGAACACCTGAGGTCAGAAGACCAGCCTGATCAGTATGGTGAAACCCCAACTCTACTAAAAATACCAAAAATTAGCCAGGCATGGTGGCGGGTGCCTGTAGTCCCAGCTACTTGGGAGGCTAAGGCAGGAGAATCGCTTGCACCTGTGAGACAGAGGTTGCGGTGAGCTGAGATCGCGCCACCACTGCACTCCAGCCTGGGCGACAGAGTAAAACTCTGTATCAAGAAAAAAAAAAAAAGTGGGGGGGG